AGATTTAATTTTTAGGGTTTCCACAGCAATTTTATTTGCGACCTAACACTTGATTTTACCTTCAGCGTTCCACTATATCCCACCTACCCTATCCTTACAGCACAAGCCAGTAAGATTACAAAGCAGGGCTTATCTACAGAGAGCATTTCCCTGCTATGGAGCCTGTGATGTCCCTCAATTTAAATTGCAATGGTTTCTTCTTTGAAGGATTGCTAAGTGGCAAGAACAAAACCTATGACTGTCAGGCTCTAAGCATCACAATTTCTTATGGCTTTACAGCAGAACATTAGGACAGGATGAAGAATTAGCTGTGTCAAGGAGAAAATTTGCTACTGTCAAATTTGTTTAGTTATTCGGAGTTACAAATATGATTTGCTGCTACCAAAAAATCAACTAGGCTGTATTAAAAGTGTAATTTGATACCCGGCTATAAATCTCTTTAATAAAGGTGTGGTGGAAATGATGTTATCCATATATAAAGATTAATCTCTATTTAAATATATATAAATTCAAGAAGCTGAACGATGCCAAAGCCGAAAGGCATCTCCTAAAGTGTGGAAGGTGCTTTGTTACTCCTGGTAAACGCTAATTCTTTTTGCCGCCGCTCGGTTGTACTTTACATTTAACCACACAGTTTTTATTTATTATTCTCACTCTGAACTTCCACGGCATCCCTTTCATCAGTTAAATTCCCCCTTTCGAAACAAACATCTATTTGAACAAAAACAGTCTTTTAAAAAAAAAAAAAAAGGAAGAAGAAGAAGAAGAATCAAAGGATTTTTAGTGAAATGAAGTTTTCTGGACTGAATTACCCAGCCTACACCATAGCATGCTCAGCCACTGGAAATTATTTAGGAACAACCGAAGGATGGGGCCAAAGGCCCGAGGCCTTTATCTGGGCGGATGATTGATGTGCTGCGGGCCCCGCTGTGGCGAACAGCGATTTTTATCTGTTGCCAGCAGCAACAGTCAGGGGCGCAGCGTGGGGCCCGCAGCCGGCCCGGCCGCCCCACCGGCCGCACACACCGACACACAAACGGGCTTTTCAGCCGGACAGGTCTCGTGGGGGGCTCTGACATAAAGGGCCCTTTGGAAAGGCTGGAATTGTCAGCCCTTTGATGGCCGCATGCTGGGCCATTAGCTTCTGTTACTAATTTGTGGTGCATGTGAGAGGGCAGAGCGGCGGGAACACCTGCGAGCGGCTCGGCCGCATTGTGGGACGGGTTTTGTCGGGAGAGACGAGGAATAAAGGACGAGGCATAACCCTTCCATCTAAAGGGCAGATGACACAGGCTATTATCGGTTCCAGCCATCAAAAGGACGGGCTCTGAAGTAACATCAAGCCTTCGTCTAACTCAAACCTGGCAAAAGCAAAGGAACCAGGGAAACTCAGAGTTAATGAGGGGCCATCTGTGACACCGCTGTGCCAGGCTGTGCGGGTACCCTCACACACTGGGATACCCGAGAAGAACCTGTGGAATTCAAGGATAAATCATCACCTGTGGTTGTACTGATTCTGAAACTCATCTCCCCGAGCCTTTGTGTGCAAAATATGCAAGACGGGGGTAAAATAATACCAAAGATGAGGGTGTTCACGGCAGGTGCCAGCCCTGGCCACAAGTGGAAGAAATGCCATTTTTAACTGGTGGGGTAACATCTAAACGCATGGATTCCTGCACTCTGAACACAATGTCACGTTTTTCCACCAGCAGATCCCACAGACCATTAAAGTCGTCGCACAACTGGGCCTGTCCATGGCCCTGAAGGTCTCCCTGCCCCACAGCTGAGGTAACTGAGGCACAGCAAACAGCACGCCCCAGATCCCAGAGCAAGATTACCGGAGAGCTGGGAATACAGCACAGACCTCCTGTCTCCTCCTCCTGGCTTTGAACACAAAACCACGCTTCCTTTGTTGGTTAATATTCAGGATGCCGGAATTATAAGCATTCAAGGCTGCGACTTTAAAGATTAATATAAAAGCAACTTTTGTATTACGTTTGTGCAAGCAACCAGAAAAGTACATATTGTAAAATAATCCACAAGTCGTACTACTGTAGGCCCGCTGCAGTGACTAATGAACATGTTAACTTTCAGGCTGAGTTTCACTGGAGAGCAATTTTTCCAACCAAATTAAAAAGCCTACTTGAGTAACAGAATTATTTACAACTCTCACAGCACCACGGTGTCACAAAAATACCACTCCAACAAAACCAAATAGGTGTCAGAGAACACCACAATATCCAAATAAATCCAACCCCTACTCCAGTCAGAAGGAAGAAAATCCACTGCAGTAGACAGAGTCTGCACTGATGCTGAGGATACAGTTTTATTGAACAAAATTTCTTTAAAACCTGAATTGTACACTCTGTATTCACACTACAGGAGAGCCAGGAACCAGAAACAGGTCCCCATGGCATCAAGCCACTGGGTCACCAGACCTCCAGCTTTGCTGAGTACTTTTTAAATGAGCTGTAAAAAGGTAGCTAAGAAAAGCAAGCCTGTGGTCAAGATGGCTTTGCATTCAAAATATAGAGCTCTGCAACTTTAGTGGTGTTTTTCTTAGGTTGTTTGCAAATTGGAAGAGGTTGAAAACCACCAACAAGACTCCAAGTGAGGTATGAGAGAAACCTACCCTTATAAAAGAGGTTTGGGTAAAATAGCAACAGACTTTGACCAGATTGAAACTCCAAAAAAATATTAAAAGCACATTACTACAAGTCTGAAATGAGAAAATGCCATCAGCAAGGCTCTGTGAAGTTCTGACCCTGGCTCATTGCAATGCAACTTTAATTATGAGTTCTTCCCACCTGTGCCTCCAGCTTCACAGCAATTGAACACATTTAAATGTCTGAAAACCTCAAATCATAGGATCTTGATCAAACCATTGTAAGTTTATTTTCAATGACATGTTTGCCTTGGGTTTCACAACCACTGATAAAAATTCCTTTCTTTTAAAGTAAATTCTGACAAAATCAATCAGCCTGAGAAGGTTCTGGTGAGTGAAGAACAACACACTCAGTAAAGCCACAAGTCACAGCCACACTGAGGTCCTGCTGAGCTGATGAAGACCCACTCCCTCTCCAGGCTGGGTTTTCCTGGGATTCCTGCAACTTGCTACTGCTGTCATTGACAGAGATGAAAATCCTACTGTTCTCCCACTCATTGTCCAAGGCCAGTGAGGTAAAGAGCTACCTGAACAGAATACCCACAAGGATGTTTGCCCAAGGCAAAGATAGATCAGAGATAAGGTTTTGATCAGATCAGGTCTAAAAGATCCCTGAGGTGGAGCAGAAAGTAGTCCTATTGAGGATATTCTTTCAAATTCCATTCCTCAAGCAAAACAAAGGAAAAAACTCCAAAATCTCCTTCCTTGCCCCCCCCCACCTCTAGATAAAACCAGGAGGTAGTGCCAAATGTACTGTTCAGAGGCTGAACCATTCGCCCCAGAGCTGGCAGGCAGCCCCAAAGGAGCTTTGTTTCTGCACATTTCAACATCACTCAACCCTTCCACCCAACCACCTTCTACCCACTTTCCCTGGTTGTCCAACAAGGAAAATTAATGTGAAATTGCAAACTGCCCTTCTAATTTTTCTCTCTCTTTTGAGAACCCGCCCTCCCTTTTGATCTCCCCATGAGCCTGTTTTGATGGCTGACCCAACCACCTGAGCAGAAACTTTAAAGGCAAGTCACTGAGACACTGTGTGTCAGAGCACTTTGGGCCAACAAGATGGGCACCGTTTGGATAAAAAGATGCCAAACTCCCCCCATTGCTAAATACCAATTAATCTAAAGTTCATTTGCATAGCTCTTCATGCATGTTTGAACACATACACTTCATTTAAACTGCATTGCCTGCAACAACTTCCACTGTTTTTCTCATTCAATGCTGCAATAGTGCTGGAAGCTTTTGAGGAACTCATTTCTTTTACGTTTGCAAGACTATTCAAATTTCAGCAGCCAGCTCTAAAAGCCAAGGATCACATGGATTCTGCCAACCCAGCAGCTCACTGGCCATCATTCAACTGAGGAGTTCAACAAAAACCCTTTCCAAAAGCCCTGAGTTGTGTTAATGTTCCTCCCTTCCCCCAAGATGCTTTAAAACCCACTGAGCTGACAGATGAGGTGGGGCCTGACAGGCCACGCTGCCCACAGCACTTGTGCCCCCTGCACCAACCACAGGGCAGCCCATCAGAAAGAGACTGTGGGTCAGCTTGTGCCAACATCCTTCAGATCAAACCATCACCTTTACACATCATTCGTTGGCCTTTATACAAAGAAAAGCGCTGAAATAAAACACTGCTGCACAATCTTAAGTTCTTTTGGTGTTGATAATGAGGCCTTGGCTTTTATTCCCACATTAATGTGTTTTTTTTTTTTTTCCAGAAAGGAAGAAATAAGGGGAAAAAAGCAAGGGAAAAAGGAAGGAAAAAAAGGAAGGAAAAAAAAGGAAGGAAGTAACTATTATAATTTCCTGGAAATACCAACCAATTCTTACCCTCCCTTCTCACATGGGACCAGATACAGTATCTGCAGAAATAAGAAATAGCCCATTTAATTCCCTCCCTGCAAATGCTCTAAATAGGATCCATAAATAGGATTCATATAATGAGGCTGATTCTGGCATGCCTGAAAAAGTTGTACTTGTTAAGAAAAATATTTGAAAAATGATAGATTGCAAGAAGTATCATTGTTTGTGCGTTCTGAAATGCAAATATGCAAATATGGACACAGTGGTTTTTTTTAAATAATGGAAGTCTTAAATAGTTGCCCAAAAATAATGCAGCCAAGCTTGAAAAATAGATGTAGATAAAAAAGTCATAATTATTTAGCAGTAGGACTAATCCAAAGAAGTTGTTTGGAAACAGTAGAAGAACGAAAACAAGGGAAATGATAAACACACGAGATGCAGCATTTGGTTTCAATGTGGGCCAGGTGCCTTCCTTGGCACTTGGGCAGCAGAGAATATTTCAGACTCTCAGCACATTCCAGAGGCAGGGAAGCTGCCTGCCCCAGCCCCAGCCTGGGTGGGCAAAGGTTCAGGGATCAGGTTCATTGTCCCTCAGAGCAGCTGCACTTCCCCACTGATGGCTGGGCTGGAATGCAACTGCAGAGACCTTCAGACCACCCTGCACCCCAGCAAACCTGGGCAACAACTAATGCCACTGAATTACACATCTGACACTCCAGTTCTACTCATCACACAATTGCCAGTGAGTCAGACTCCCTGAGCTGGGATGTGTCTCAGGTCGGACTGAGCCATGGTAGTACCTGGAGAGAGTCACCAGGACACCAGAGAGCAGGGCACAGGGGAGATGCCAACAGGCATTTGGTTCTGCAACTTCACAGAAGCACGTTCTGTTTTCACCAGAGCTGGTGACTCTTAGTCCTGCCTAATGCCAGAGCTTTGCCCTTTGAGCTTCACTCCACACCATCACAGCCCTGGGAGCACACTGTGGGTCACAGGCTCTCCTGGACCAGAGGGCAATTTTGGATATGGGCAGTCCCTGTGGCTTCCAGTTTATGTGAACAGGAAAGGTCACTGACCTGATCTTATCCAAGACAAAGGGCTGGGAAGAGAAAAGAAAGGGTAACTAAAAAAATCCACAAATGTTCAGTTTGTGGGTAGCGCTTTAAGAATGAAATGTTTTCGGCTAGTCCCTTCAGGTGCCTGCCATCCCACAGCCTCCAAATAGGCATGTGATGCTGCAGGAATGTGCTTCACAAGGTCTGGCATTCTGAGAAGGGCAGCAGTTTATCCACCTCCTCAGTGTTCTGCACCACAATTAATAGGAGCTTCACTGCTATACATCCAAGATGTGGTCTGGCCCTGGATAAGATTTTATAGCAACTCTTAAAAGGGATGAGTTATCAGAAAAAAACCAAACATCTTAACATCAACAAAACCTGCAAAAAATAAAGCACAAGAAACCAACCACACAGGCACAAGCACAAGCTTCCAGACATTTAATTACAAAATAAATGCATATGACAGACATCAACAAGCCTACAGGAAGATTCCTGCTTCAGTATTCAATGCAGCCTCAATAAATATTTCAAGGTTTCAAATGGATGCTTTGCAATAGCACAGTTTCCATTTGCACAAGTGCCAGAAGGAAGAATTCAACACAGGCTTAAAGCAAAACCAGAGTATTTTCCTGTAAAACTTTAATTGGGAAACTGACACTATATAATCTGTACATCATTGCCTCCGAGCTGTTGTTAAAAAATTAAAGCTGTATCAAAAGAACTGCTTTGTTAAATTAACACGTTATGCATACCAGACATAATCTGCACCAGGAAGGGAAATAGCTTTGAGTCCAAAATGCACTGATTGCTGTGGTCGTTATTGACAGAGGCTGAGCCAAGCAATGTCAGCACAATAAAGCATCTCTCAGGCCTCCAGTACAGACACACACCCTTCCAAACGCCCAGCCTTGATTTCAAAACCCGAATAAAACCAGCAGACGAGCAGGATTTCATTATGGTGACAGTTACAGCTACAAATCACACACCAGACTGGCCACGGGGGCCTCTCACCCATGGACAGAAGACATCCCAGGCCTTTGCCCAGGGGAAGCACTCCCTTCCCCACGCTTGCTCAGCAGCATCTGCAGGATCCCAGCACTGCCAGGACAGGCATCTGCAGCCTGGGGGAGAGAAGTTGAGGGGCCTGGTTTGAGGAGAGGGATGGTCAGACACAGGACAAGCAGCACAGAGCTCCTTATATTCTAGGCACAAGACATAAAAATGAGGTGGATCTTCTGTTTAGAACTACCTCACCCATTTTAGTAAATACTCAGTAAAACACTCTCCCATCTATGTATCTTGACAATAGACATGAGTACCACTACCCCATTTTAAGGCCAGAGGAACTCAGGCACTGACACTCAGAGCAATCCCCTCAAGGCCTCTATGAACGTACTAATTTAAAACCTCATTTGCTCAGGGTTCTTTGCTGCAACTTGTCCATTCTGACCCTGAGGTTTGCTCAGCAAACACAGGACAAAACCAAACCAAGTGCCCCAAGTGGTCCCAAGTCTATGACCACCTCCTCCATTGAACCTTTGCAAGCCCATGTCACACTCACCATCAGTTTGGCTTTAGATCAGTGGGGGTTCATCAAACAGGCCACACTTTGAAATGTGACTCATCACTTCGTGTGCCCAAACTCCCGACAACGCGACAGCCTCAAAGAGGCCAAGTTTTCTAAAAATACAGAGCCTGCTCCCTCCGAAGAGCCTGCTTCCTCTCATATGTTTCAAGCTGTTCACCTCCGAATTTGAAGTGCCAAAGCAATTTTAGAAGATCTGAATGATAACCTTTGCTCAGTAAGATATCACAGCCCTGCACGTGATGGGCTGTAGCTTCATTGCGTGTCCTGAGAGTCTGAGGCACTGCTGTGGTCTGCAGCGGTGAAGGCGGGTTAACAGTTTTGAGGCTTTCAAGATAAGCAAAATTTCCCCTGACGTTGTAAACTCTTCAGGTGGTTAGAGAGAACAGTTTCTGGTTTTTTGATGTCTTCTCAGAAAAGAGCTCACACAATTTTATCAGTCTCTGGGGTGACCATCAGATAACCAAGCTATTCCTGTCGGAACCACTCAATGCATCTCCCCCTTCCTGTCACTGGCAATCCACAAGACGACCAGGGGATTCGAGCTAACCACAGGGCTCACAACTTAACTGATTAAGTAGGTGGGAACTGATGCCAGCTCAGCTCAAAGTGCCTCTCTTGCTAACCAGAAGCTCGCCGCAAGCTGTGGAGGGGAATGACCACAGATAACACACTGATACCGAAACGGTTTGGTGAAGCTGCAGCTTCCTGTTCGAGGGCTCTCGCAATCTCTCAGAAATGAATCTTCAGCAGGAAACTGGCTGCAGTTAAACAGGCTGTCTGGGTCGTCATGTGGCGTGTATTACTGCCTCTTGTTTTCAAGGGACCATTTATTATTCTCTCCTGCTCTTCCCTGGCTCTCTAGAAATGAACTGAATTAGGACTCCCCAGAGAACAGCAAGTCCTCAGGGGGAAGGAAAGATGCTCAGACAAAGTCTGTGACCACCCTCCACCTGTAACAACTCGATGCCTGCCAGTCACACAGTGTTTAGTGGCCTCGGGCATCTTCACTGGGATATTCTAATCTTCATGATTCGAGCTCTTTTTCTCTTAAACCAGTGTGCTCCTAGGTGCTATTAAGCAGCTTTGGAAGAGACTTGAATACATGGGGAAAACGTGTTCTGAGAACTGGAAGGGGAGGTTTGATCTGACTTTGATCACAAGCCTTACAACCACGCTTGTGTCAACACCTGCTTGTGTTTTACTATGAGGAATGCTTACAGAGAAAAGCCTTTTAGACAAGTGATTTTTGAGATCAGATTTTGAATCTTTGGTTCATTACAAGTATCCCACTAAGTTTAGCTTCTTAGCCCTTAGTTCTAGTCCCTTCCTCCTAGTAAGAAATTTTTCCCACTGATACCATTTGTTGCCCTTACCTAGGTGGCAGAAAGACAGGCATGTGGCTTTGGGCCCACAATGGGACATCACTTTTAGAGTTCTAGTAGTTGTCACAATCATGTGATTATATCAGAAACAAGTTCACTGAGAAGAATTCTGAAGAAGAGTTAATATTCAACCATATTCTGCAACTGAAGGTAGGTGAACCCACCAGTCAAAGCAGGAGATGGCAGAATTTCATCAATCTTGTAAAACAGATATATGTTTTACCCACCTTAAATGCAACAATTCTTCCTTTGGTGATTACCAACTGGTCTGAGCACGCTGCTCTAAGAGTTCAAAGCACACACCACGCAGTCTATACCATCCCTCATCTACAGCACTCTAATTGCTACAGGATGTCCAAAAATTGTCCTGTGCTTTGATTAGCTGATTTCAAGAGTAGCATGAACCATTTCAGCCATGTCCAGAAAACCCAAACCCCACACTAGATAGCTTCCTAATCAAACCCAGCACTTCCTAACAGTTACAAACAGCAAAGTACCAGTCCAAAAAAACTGACCTGAGGTTTACAAACACCCAGCATCTCCATCTAACGTGCTTCCCAAAAACTGCCAGTGTCGTGAGGCTTTCTGGTGAACACATGTGGGGAACTAATCAGACAAGAGAATTCCTGAGGATACTACAGATCTAGGCCATAAGTGCTCAGGCACACAAAATCTTATCCATCATGTAGCACAGAGATGAAATGCAGACAGCAAAGGTATGAATCAGGCTACACTCCTGTAGAAAACCACTGCAGCCGTGTCCACAGTGAGGTAACTATGATAAATGTTCCATCCTCCTGGTTGCAAACCTCTGAATATTCACCATCAGAAGCACAGCAATTCATCTGGAAAGAATGTATAAATAAGGCAGCTAATTCCATTAAATCCTACATGTGATACCACTGGAGTGTGGAACTCAGCAGCACTGTGTAAGGACCACTAGTGCTTGCTGGATTTTTTATTATTGTTTGAGACACATACTAACTCTATAATCAAAAGCAATTTTGAGCTTAAAACTGACCTCGAGGTTACCAGACTCTATGGCAGACTGTTCCCTTTCGTTGGGAGTACACTGCACAGCCAAGATGTGAGCACACACACACCGGATGGGCCACAGGGCTAATTAAAAAGTGGCTTTGTTGGTTGTGTCTGTTCCAAGAGCAGGTTAGTAAACCAAACTTTATAAAAAGTAATGAAACCGAAGGTGCTACAGACGCAGACAATTCCCACAAAAACAAAGCAGAGCTCAGAGTGATGAACAGTTGTTTTACTCAACCTTAATACCTTTGAGCTTCTGACCTGTGATGAGCTGAAAAAAAGATAGAACAGCTAAAGTCACTTGAAAACTAAGTTGAAACACAGGGTATTCTGAACTGGAAGTTAAAAATTTCTTCATGAAATTAAGTGTCATTGATCAAAGGGTTTTAAAACAACTTTGGGATACAGCAATGCCTGAATTTCAAAATTACACCACTGCCTCCTTAAAGTTATTTAATAAAACAAAAAGACAAGGAAAAAGCAGAGAGTACTTGGCCTCACCAGTTGCCAAATGGAATTGATTCCTCTCACACCCAAGTTGTGCACAATGGATTCATTTACATTTCTGCCCTTGCCCTGAATTCCCTGGCTTTCTAGAACTGCAGTTGGTTCTTCAGCATCACAAAAGTCTCTTACAGTTTAATTTATTTATTTTCTGTAAAAAGGAGAAAGGAAACCTTTCTGAAATGTTATCAGCAGGTCACAGTGGCTGAGGCAAGTGTTGACCACAAGGAACCGTGATGCTGAAACACTGAGGCAGCAGGAAGTGCAAACACTGACCCTGTGCAGACAACACCTCACATGGTTTCCATCTGAGTGCTCCTCTTCCAGCAAAGCAAGAGCTGCAGATGAGAAATCTGGTCTCTGCAGCAACCATCTCACTCCTGGAGCAGGAGCTGAACAGTTCCTGGACAGGCACCCAAGGCCCTGGGCTCCTCCCTGAGCTCCTGCATGCAGGCACAGGCACGGTGCCACCCCGCTCTCTGCCCCTCAGGGACAGGGGAGTGCTGCCTTCCCACTGCAGCCCAACTACACCCCCGGTATATTTACATTTTAGCAGCCAGCTCCACGGCAGCCAGGCTGAAATACAAAGTGAGAACGAGAGAAACCTCAGCCTACAGCAGATTTCCACCCCTTGGCAGCTTTCACAGCAGAGCTGCCACACCTTCAGCAAGTTACCAAAAGCTTTCTCCGTGTGAGAGCTGACTTAGGGTTGCATCTGTTGTTTTGCTAAATTAAAGTTGCATCTTAGTCTTCTGTCAGGACAGGGAAGAAACTGAAGATCTCTCTTGCCTTTAATAACATATCCCAGTTTAAAAAAAAAGATGACATGGAAGAAATACAAGCAGTGAAACTGAGTAAAGACCACTGACCTACAGGACTTACAGGAACACCTTCCTTACACTCTGGATGTGCAGTGTTTTATCATCACCCAAATAACACACCCTCTCTAGAATATTTCAGTGCAGTTTAACATAGGGAAACCATTTGGGGACTGACAGGAAATCAAGGTATTCCACTGATTTGCACAATTAAATATTTTAAATCTCATGATGTTTCAAGACAACGGACAGTGATCCCTCATGCCAACAACACCCACAAGGTTGATGCACCCAATCCCTTTTCTTTAATCTCTCTTGTTACCTCACTATCAAGGTCAAAAAACCATGTTCATCTTTTATTTCTAGAGGAGCATTCTGCAGCAGCACTGTTATTTCCTCAGCTGCTCCCCTTACACACCGTGGTTTTGGGTGCAGGTTTCTGCAAGGGCACAGTGAGATACGAGATAAAACAAGAAAGTGTGAACCCCTGTTACACCCCCACGAATTTCCTCCGAGGAACTCACCACAGCACCCAGCACAGCAAACACCAGTGCGCTCCAGCAGCCCTCACAAATGGGCTATTTTAACCCTCTCTTAAGTTATAAAACCCCAGCACTGCCCATTCTCACTGCACAGGACTATCAGAGAATTAAGGAAAAATCAAAAGCAAATCCCCCAAGAGGCCCCACACTTAACCCCTGTTCAATGTGCTCATCAGGTAAGGAGCCCTGATTCTAATCTAATCAACTGTCTGCTTTAATCATCTTTTTGTTGGCTTTGGTAAAGGGAAAGAGAGTTAAAACAAGGCAATGGATTCTAAGGAAAGAGACCCATGAGGGCAAATAACAATGCAAAAACAGCTGTGACAGACAGGCAAACACCCTGCCCTGTTACACAAAGAACACTACAGCATATATATGACACAACTGCCTCAGGACAGTCTTAATCAAAAAGGTCCAGAAATAAAGACCAGATATTCTCAAAGTGCTTTGCTTTTCCTCTTCAGCAGGATGTAATCCTTTCCAGGCTGGTGAATTCAAGATGGGTTTAGGACAACTTTTCATTTTAGCGTGCAAGGGCAGCGACAGCGAGGTTATCCTACCCCAAAAGCCGAGGAGCACTGGGAATTCGGGGGGATGCCTCTGTTTAACAATAGAGCCTTTCTAGTCAGATTAGAGATCTGTTCACCCCTCCCACCCTGAGCCAGGGGCAACAGCGGGGAGATTAAAACCACAGGCAAAACTCACACACCAGTCACAGGGCCCGTCCCTCACGGGGCTGGCGGTGTCAGCCGGCTGTGCCCCCGCCAGCTGGGGGTTATGGGCATCACCAGCATCCCATCCCATCCCACAAAGGGGCACCACTGGCTGGGCCCGGGAGCCTCCGAGGCCACCCCTGTGCCAAGGGCACTGTGCAGGCAGAGGGCAGCTCAGCAGAGAGGGCCCTTTGTGCTTGCTTATGGCTGCGGAGATGAGCGCAAATTTATGGGACTTTTCATCCTAATTAAAAGCAGAGGTCATCTAAGAAGAAACAGACTTTCAGAAAAGGGAACTTCTAAAGGAAAATGTGCTGTAAGGAAGTTCGTGGACTCCAATATTTGTAAAGCTGAAGTATGTAGTTTATTTATGTTTGTACTTCTGCTTATGCTTTTCATGGGACGTTTCAAAAACCCTCAGAAGAGCTCTCACGGATCTGGAATAATATGTGCACTAATTACTCAGCTCAATTTGAGCTCATGGCTTTTGGGACAGCCCCTGGAGCCAAGGGGCCAGCTCCTCAGCTGGCTTACAGCAACCTGGCTCCATCCCACACAGCACTCAGAGCAAACAAACTCTTCATTTATTCAGAGAACTCAGTCTGTCTAAGTGAATTCAAGCATGGGGATAGTTTTTGTAAAGTGAGGCTATTTAGGAACACGTGAAAATAAAAACCAGCAGAAGTTAAATGTTTTGGATTGACACCCACCATTTTATGTCTGGCTTTCTAAAATTCCTGACAGCTTAAAGGGAAAACTCCTTTCAAAATCCTTTATATTTCTATTACACATTATTATTTTTCTTTTTTTCTTTCTATCTGTTGTGCTGTCATTGCTCCTGCAGGCCACGTCACTTTATTACAGTCCTTTTTTCTTTTCTCTTTCTTACTGTCTTCAAAGAAGACAGAGTATTGCTCCACCAGAAGGAGACCTATCTGCCATTCTTTTTCTTGTCCAGAAAAAAAAAGACAATTACAGTCCCCCTTTTATGCTTGGCATCATGGCAAAAGGAGATTGATACTTGTTTTGGAATTATTACTCCCCTATTCATAAATCTTGTCCAGAGAGTCTAGCTCACAATGCCAGCCTACAGGCACACTATTGGAGGAGATACTTATTAAATTCAGTTTTATCATTTAACTTTGGCTCCAGCTCAAGGAGTTTTAGATTCGTAACAAGAGCCCTGTTTCCAGTATTGATTTTTGGCAAGGAAAAATGCTAATTTATCAGAGGTTCTAAAATACAGTGAATTTTCCAGCCCAGTCTGGAAACGTTACCTACCTAGAGAAGAGATTTTTCATGAGTGTGTCACAGAGTGGCAGGTGGAGAAACCCCGTTAGTTACAATCCCAGTGTGCCTCTGGCCACTGAGTGTGCTTCCACTCCAGGAGCTGCAGCACAGTCAGGAACTCCCAACCACAAGTATTACATGCTTCACTGCAATAATATTGCTGATCTTTATGTAGAAATTTATCCTTCTCCAGACAACACCTCAGAGATGTCAAGGTACATAATCATGCCCTGGGGTCTTGGACCACCCTCTGTGTAGGAAGTGGTACTGATTTAAGGTCTGTACAGAAAAGATGATGTTGAAGGTACTTTTCCAAATCCAATAATTTGGTCCCAAGCTAAGAGGCCAAGAGCATCCCTGAAGCACAGAGGGGATCAAGGGAATGCTGCTGGCATGATCTTCGGTGAGCCTCTGTAACCACTACACCGAAACCACGAACCTGCTCCTGCACCAAGGATTCCTGGCATGGTAACAGTCTCCTTAGAGGGGACCATCTGCTTCAGGGTCTCACAGAACTGCACTGAGCTGGCACAAAGCTGAATCAGGCCACAAAAAGAGCTTTACAGGGTATATAAACCTGCAAAGAGTCAACAGCTCCTCGACAGGTGATTGCCCAGCACTTTGCAGTCCTCCTTCCCGCTGAGTTCGCTGTGCTGGTCTCTGCCTCAGTGCTGCAAACCAGCTCAACTCCAGCTCAGAACTGGCTGTGCTGGCAACTGTGCTCATGGGCACGAGCTCAAGAGGTCTGAGAGGGGTAAGAAGGTTGTGGGCAGCTGTGCTGGGCAACAGACCACTGTGCAGCAACATCAAAGGCACAGCACAGGAGAGGGGTCCCAGAGGGCTGTAAGGATCTTTGCTAGCAACTGGAAAGCCAGTTCCGAAAATCAACAAGATAATTTGAGAGGAACAGTCAGGAAGGGGCAGACTGGGGTACAGGCAGGCTCAGGGTGCTCAAAGCCTACCCAGTACTGCCTGAACCACCTCAGGTTCAACTTCACCTGGGGGATGAGATAACCACTCTCCAGCTACATCACCAAGCAGGAGGAATGAAGGTTGCAGATAGCACTGAGCTGACTCTGGGTGACCCAAGAGTCTCTGCAAGCCCTGTGGTGTTACCACATTTCTTTCTCTCCATGGGCTCCAGCCTGAGTTATCTGAGACACCGGTTTCCGGCACTCAACAAGGAAGATGCAAAATCAACAGATTTTGATGAGCTGCCAGGGATTTGACTAGGCTACAAAGACTTTGATATTTTACAGAAGCTCAGAATGAAAATCAGCTGCTGCTGTTGCCAAGTGTATGTTACTGTTTTTATTTAAAAAAACAAAAAATCTTTCAAGAACAAATAAAACCAAACAAAGACGTCTCATCCTCCTGTACTTTGGTTCCAAGGCACACTCAGACAGGTTGGCTCACTGGCCATCCATTTGCCATATGCTTTCAAGTTTATTCTTTTATTCACTCCCACATTTTAGCCCCTTCCATTTCAGAAGAGGAACAGCTGCACAGACCCTCTATAAATAAACTACATAATTTATGGGAAGAGGTTTTTTTGTTTATTTTTTTTAAGCTGCCACATATTCCCCAGCTCTATCCTTTTCCATGCTCTCTACAAAACTCAGTCAAGTTCAACTGCAGCTTGGGTTTGTCTGTACAGTGTGCTCAACCTGATAAACAACTGCAACTTTTTATCTATTAATAACAAACTGTATGTACTGATCTTACGTTCATTTTAACTACTTTCTATGTTAAGTTCATTTACAACTAAACTGTCAGAACTTAACTATCATGACTAAACTATCGGAAATAAATTTGAGAAACGGTCCACAGGGTGGATATGTACTGGTGAGACACAAATCTCAACACACAGCTAATTTCTGATTCTCTGCGTGCTTTTTAACAAATCAGTGCATTTTCGGGTAGACAGGCCTCTCATCCTGTTACCAAGAAGAAAATCTGTTTTGTCTGCTCGGAGGACAGACAGACCTCTCTGACTAAGATCACTAATCTCATCTGTGTGTGCAGGAAGTGTGACAAATGGCTGGAGTAGTTTATCACACGAATGTAACCATCGAGTCATAAAAGGAATAAGATATTAACCTCCACAAACAAACTAGTGTTCTATTTCTCAGCACAGAGGAAGTATACATTTAACAAGATAAGGGTATGAAACACATGCTATTGATGAGATAAGGAGCTTGCAGAAACAGTACAGACGTAGATATGTCTCATGCTATCCGAGTAAAAGTAAATGCCATTCCAAACTTTACTGTGAGGAAATAGATTTTTAAGAAATTTTGTCCACGATATGTACAGAGACTGTAAAACCACCAGGGACACTCTGCAGTGGCGTCTCCACTGTGCATCCTGGAGCACTGTGTTTTTATCATGCTTTATCACATCTCTGGCAAACAACCTGTTTGATGTAAACAGGGGGCACAGCCAGAATAGTAACTCAGTGTTTCATATACAGCTGTTGCCCTGAGAAAATGAAAGCTGTTACAAGATATTATGGACAAGTCCTGGTGGGGGGCCCAGTTGTCTTGAACTGAGGGTTTGAACATCTCTGTGCCACTGGGGAGAATCGGCTTCCAACGCGAGTTTGGGCCAGCAGGGTCTGGCAGTGCTGGAAGTGACAGTCTCTGCCTCGTGCTAAATCAATTTAGAGCAGCATCAGAGTCTTGAGGGACACGGGCAGCCTCAACAGCTGGTACACGGTGAGGCAGAAGGCAGTTTAACAGGGAGAATGACAATCCATACAGAAAAGCAACCCCAGCTCACGCTATTTGTGATGTCAAAACACTGCCTTGGCACACAGAAAGCTCTCACCTCCCTTGAGAAGTTATGGGGTGGTGAAATAAAAGAACCCTGTCACCACACATGCAACAGAGAAGGAGCTGGAAATTTTCTCAAAATCATTTATCTGAGAAACAGAAGTAAATTTCTGAAGAGCCAGCAATGGAAGAAAACAGTCCTGTGATTTATTAGCCTCGAGACTCTGAAAAGAATTCTTTGGCCTTTTTCCATTAAGATTTTGCAACCTATGTTATAGCCAGTGGGAAATTGTTCAGTTCCCAAACCATGCCCTCAGTCATAAAATCTGTGAAGCTGATTCATTACTATTTATGTGGTGCCATGGGCATGCATGGCATTTTACAGACAAAGAGAAGATACAGCCTCTGCCTTTGGAAGCTCAGGTGAATCCAACTGTCCACGTGTATGGGAAGCAGCACTCAATGTCCCACAGCAAACACTCCTCATCACTCAATGAGTTCAGTATTGATACTCACCTGGGATGCTGGGAAGATTTAGACAGGAGGATACTTAGAAGACATGTAATTACTGTCTAAAAATTTGTGACATTATTTCATTGAAACTGTAAGACTTTTCAAGTCATATGTTATTTTGTAATGGCTTTATAATGAAAATGTACTTAGTC